CCTCAGGCAGGACTAGGACTCACTGTCTCCCAGCTTCTAGTCTGATGCCTTCACCACTACACCAAACTGACTCTCAGGCGTACATTTATTGATAGGTTCGCTAGGGCAGGGGTTTCTTGCTGCCTCTTGAAGCAGTGGGAAGGTTGCTACTTGCTTTCCTGATGCAGGAGGAGTGTGTAGGTCTTCCAGCCCTATGAAGTCCATGACTTTATTGCATAAGATGGGTACTGCCCACTCCCCTGAAAAGGCCCTCTCCAGGGCGGTCTGTCCATATTGGTGAACGAAACAGTCATCTAGGGCACCAAGTTAAATAGGGCATCAAATGTTGAGGGGAAAAAAATAAAAATGAATGTTTACTTCTTTTTTTTTTTTAACAAAAACTTCTCCCTAGATCTGCTCTTGAATTTGGGATTGACAGTTGTGTGATGTGCCTAAGGCCCTAGTGGCTGGCAGCTGATCTAGGACACCCCCTGTGGCAGACATGAACAACACTTTTGGACCCCAGGGCCTTGTGTGGCATTTGCACTTGCGCGTGCACAGCAGAAATTCCAGGGATACTCTTTGCTGCAGTAAGATAGAATAACAGAATCTTGAACGTCTGTCCCATCCTACGCTAAATAAAATCAAGGTTGGGTTGTTTTGAGTTTTTTCCTTCTTTCTCAGGACCGTGTAATCTTTCCTGCAAACTAATTAATTCCTTCCCTCATTAAGGGCTTGCTCATACCTTTCTTATCCCCAGGGTCAGCTCTTAATTCCTTTACAGCCACCATCAATTAGCAATGCAGAAACCGTGATTTTTTTTCCAAATTAGGATTGCTGAAGTGAGCTTAAAGCCTACAAATGCACACACACACACACAAACACAACCAGTGATTTCTGTCTGGCATGGTGTTTCAGCTCACCATGCAATGCGACTAATAGCAATGTCAGAGCAACATTGCTTTCTCCACTGCCCTGCTAATGGTTTGGGCATCAAGGAGAAGGGGAGGGGAGGGGAGGGGAGGGGAGGATCTTGGGTCTCATCTACATGGCTGAAGTCTGTATGGGAGAAGGCCCTCCTTAAGATAGGCAAATTGAGGGTTATTGAGGGTCACTGGACTCAGCAGTTCCTGGGCATGTACATGATGCAACTACTCGGCTAAAATGTAGCTGATTTGGGATCTATCATTGCCTGGCTGTTGAAAGTGTCATAAATAATAATGAAAACAGGTCCTGCTTACTGTGCTGGCCACTATATACAGGAACCTTTAAATAATCAAATTGGGTTGCTATTTCCCTATATGAAACCATAGTTGTGCATTTGCTTGTCAAATTCCACCACAATTGATGGGGTGTGAGGGTAATATGAGAACCATCCTGTTGTTGTGGGGTGCTGAAGGATCTATTCTGCTCACCATATAGTATTAGGTGGAGTGACTTGAGATGGTGTCCATATGGTACTGGTAACATATAGGGAATATGTTTTTAGATAAGATGTTCTGATATATGTCTGAGAAAAGCAAAGGTAAAAAGGAGATACAGATTACTACACCAGTTGTGTCAGGCTACCTGCTGAATTTAAATGGATACCCGTGTCACTGCTTCTCTCTCTGTCTCTCTCACCAAATACATATGGATAATTACATTTTGTTGACTTTATAGAAGTATCAGGTAACTACCAGTAGTTTAAAAGATTGTGCCAAACCACTTGATTTAAACTGACAAGAATTATAAGCCATACATGTGTGTGTGTACATACATACATACATACACACAAACGTAAAGACAAAGGCAGATATTGTCTCAGTTTGTCCTGTTTTAGTGACACGGCATCTGGGCTGAATTAGTCTGATGTGCTCTGTGTGGGGCTGCCTTTCAAGATAATTTGGAAACATCATCTGGTACAAATTATTGACCACTTGATTGTCTAAGTGTCTGGAACATTTGACATACCTATTTTACCAGTTGCACGGGTTGCATTTCAAACCCCAAGCAGACCATTACAGTTATAAACAGCCTAGGACTGAATTGTCCAAAAAATTACCATCACCTATCAGTGTATCCACACACAAGATCAGTGTCTGAGGCCCTATACATATGGCATTACAGTAACCAGTACAATACTGTACCATTAATAAGAGCAATTACATTAGCAATGACCCCTCGTGTGGAATTCTATTCCTGTCAAGATTTGTCAAGCTTAAAATGGGAGCTAAGGTCCTATGTGTATACTCTACCTCTTTTTAAAATATTTTCATCATGATGCTATATATACATATAATGTGGTTTAGCTATGTTTTTTTTAATATCTACTGTGAATGTGCATGTTTGCATCTGTCTTAAGAGGCAGCCTATGCTTTTTGAACTAAATAAACTATATGGCCAGCACATTTTCAGCTTTGAATTGCTATTTTAATGTTTTAGGATATTCCCACTGGGGCTGACAGCTGCGTCACCAGTCTGTCCTGTGATTCTCATCGTTCACTCATTGTAGCAGGGCTTGGAGATGGCTCCATTCGGGTTTATGACCGACGGATGGCTCTGAGTGAATGGTAAGACAGCCACCTCGTTCCTGAGATCAGCAAAGGAAGCTTATACTTGTTCTGACTCCACTGTTTGGTTGCGCACCTATGCATGGAGTAGAAGCACTTGCTCCAGCAACATTAGAGTTCCACAGACTGCCCTTAGTTGCAAAGATTATCTTTCTCTTCTCCCTTTCCATATTCATCTTAAGGTTGGATGAATTTTAACAACATATGTCTTCCTATATGATGGATGGATGGATGGATGGATGGATGGATGGATGGATGGATGGATGGATGGATGGATGGGCGGGCGGGCGGACCTAGAAGCAAATGCTATGAGTGCAATTTTTTAACAAAACATATTTTTTGTTAACATAAAAGATAAAGCAATATTATATGGATTTTTCTCTTGCCTGAAATAAATCTGTGATGGAATTACTGCTGACATTAAATTACAGATAAGCTTCTATTACTTTATTGTGCAAGGCAGGGTCTAAATTACATGCAGGGCATGATTGCTGCCTACCTGTTCTCCTGGCTTCCATTTTCTCTCTTGCTGTACCTATCAAGCTCAATACATAGCAAGGATATCTGTTGAAATAACCAGCTGAAGGAAGAGCGGTGCCTTAATGTGCCAGCTCTCATTCAGTGGCTTGCAGCTTCGCTTCAGTGGGAAACCCATCCCTGCAAGCAGATAGTTCTCCTTGCAGCAGCTTCTGGGTTTTCTCCAGCATCTTATTTACAGAATTTCTCCTTTCACTTGTAGTCGTGTGATGACCTATCGAGAGCATACAGCCTGGGTGGTGAAGGCATATTTGCAGAAACATCCTGAAGGCAACATCATGAGTGTCAGGTAAAAAAAAAAAAGTAAATGAAAAGGAACAAGGACCTCTGAATATTTATGTGACATTTTCCTGCCAAAACATTATTTTGTACATTCTTGTTTGAAAATCTGTCTCCAGTATTTAAACAGCAATGAGGTTTGAGCTCTTTACTTTGGCATTTCTATCCTGCAATTAACTCCTGATTAAAAAGTGTGGCAAAAGAATAGCCCTGTTCCTTAGAATGATAGTTTTTAAACATTGATGAGAACAAACTCTACTCAAAGTATTGGATAACATTATACAGCCCTGCAGCCAATGACCCATCTTATCTCAGGTTGGAGAGCCAAATAACAGAGGGAGGACAGCAGTATTCTGTAAGAGGGAGCACCCTAGTCCCAGAGAAAAGGCCACCCCTCCCCAGTGGAACCTGCTGGACTCTCCCTGGACAGAAGCCCAAGGATTGCAATTGAAAGCCTCAAGGTGGGGCACAGTATTCAGGCCTGCTTTCAGGATCCTTTGGGGTAGGATCAGGAAGAAGTCTGTGGCTTTGATGGAAGCTCTCGTTTTGAAAACTTGAAAAGGAATAATCCTCCACTTTAAACACAATGTTTTTTCTGACTCTGAAGCGAAAGGGAGGAACTGGGTAACTAGCCAAAACAAATCATTTGTGCATTTGATCTGTAATTCCTCTTTCCTTCAAGAACCAAGGCAATAGATTTGACTCTCCCTCCCATATTTTTTCCTAAAAGTAACCAAACTGTGAGGTAGGTTGGACTGACAGAGAGAGAGACCACTGGGTGGTCTAAGGTCACCCAGTTGAGCTTCCATGGCAGAATGTGGACTTGAACCTGCATCTCCTCATTCCTAATCCAGCACCTTAACCGCTAGAGCACATTGGCTCTCACAAATCTTTTGCTAGCAAGAAAGAAAACTAAAAAAAGAAACGGAGAGATTTCATTGCATGTTCTGAGTTTATTGCTATGCAAAATTAATTCCCCATCTAGCAATTTTTTGTGCATAAATCCATTCCTTATTCTCAATAAATATGGTGTGAGAGCACTGTCTCTATTAAGTGTTCCATTGAAAGGACGGCACAATATAATTTATTGACCCTACATTGCCATTTGTTTTTAGAGAGGCTCTTCTTTGTAGACTGGGTTGAAAAAAGCATATAATTCTCTGCAATGTAATACTTCCCCACAACTGCTATTGGGCAGCAAATTCTGTCATCCTTATTTTCCCTTTACCTAGGGCAGCAAATTCTGTCATCCTTATTTTTCCCTTTACCTAGGAAGGAGGTAAAGTAGTTTAATTTGCAGGATGTAAAGTTCTATGTGGTAGTTTCTTTTTTATGAATATAATTTTTATTAAGGATTTTGATTACAATAGTAAAAACTAATACAAACTAAACTTAGAGAAAGAGAAGAGAATGGGAAAAAAGAATAAAAAGTGCAGGAAAAAAGAAAAAGAAGAAAAAGGAAAGAAGGAATATAATAAAGAAAAAGAAAAGAAATATATGAAGAAGTGACTTCTAACCTTCATCACAACAAGCATAAGCAAATTTAGTAACTCTTCATTCCCATAAGGTTACAAACAGATATCTCTTCATCCTATATCCTATCCCTTATCTATAAGCAAATCCATAAAACTTTTCAATCCTAGTGTCAGCGAAAAGTCCATAAAGGATTGCCAGAACTTTGCAAAAAAAAAGTATTACTTTAACTTTGATCAAATAAACCAACTTTATATTCCTTTCTTTTACTTCTAACAGTTTTAATCTTTAATTCAATCAAATATTGTTGTAGAATTTGATTGTTCTTCATTCTTCTTTATCCCATCACACAGATTTCTTCAGGGCTTTAACAAGCCTCTTTTATAGATCCAATAAGAAAACATATTCCAGGTCATTTTCTTGGTTTATAATTTTATTTCCTTTTTAATTTTTAAAATTTCAGCCAGTTTCTTTGTATATCCAGTAAAGTGTCCTTTTCCAAATCATTATCTTGGCTTGTCATTTGTTGTTCCACTTTTGATACTTTCTCTGTCTTGTCAGATAAAAGTTGTTCCACATCTGTCATTCCTTCATTAACATTTTTTGGACACAGTCTATCCATAGAAGCAGACATCATTACTGACAGTGTTGATATTGTAGTTAATAGTTTCTGACTCCATTCTTCAAAGACCTCCTTTAATGTTTCGGATGTTACCACATTTTATGTCATTTTGTCACTCCCAGTATTAACTGACATCAAAAACAGGCTTGTATTTTTTTTCCTTCTGCTTAGAATCTTTAGTCCTCTCTAGTGTTAAGTTTCTAAAATTGTAAAGTAATTTATCTTTTTATGATTTACAGTAGCCAGGATAGCCATGAGAAGCTATTTATTTTTTACAGTTAATTCCAAAATCTTATAATAAAAGTCAATATTCCAAATTTATCTGGACGCTTAATCCAGTTATAACTTTCTTAGATCAAAATCTTACTTAGCTTTTTGCTGTTTATTTTAACTTCTTTAAGTTCTTAAGCTTATAATTAATTTTTCTTTTGTTCAGAGTTGAAGATAAACTCATTTGATGAAGACTTTTCAAACTCATCATTCCGAAGGTCTCTAATAGCTTTAAGATGGTTAATAGGCAATTTCTGAAAGTGATTAGAAAGTGAGGCTTGCAAACTTAGTGTCCTTTAAAAGCCTCTGCTGTGATTGCAAGCAAGATGGCTAATCCCAATATCTCCCAGTGCTCAAACCCGTAGAAAACTACTGTTCTGCAGTCTCCTCACAGACAGCAGCCATCTGGAGCACATGTGGGTGATCTCCCATCCTCTTACTATCTGGAGAGGTTCCAAGGAACTGGTCTACTCACTGGTTCCTTGATATTTGCCATGGTCATCGGCAGTACTTTCACAGAGAATCTTCAAGTTGCCATACCTGCCCTGGAAGTCCCTGTGCAGTAGTTTCCTCATAGTATTAATTCTAAATTAACTTCTGTAGGTTGCACCTGCCATTGGGTAAGCATCAGATTTTTCAGCAACAGCATTTCTCATTCAGATTCAGAAGGGACTCAAATCTTCCTGGGAACAGGGTATCTGTTGACTCCCGTATAACTTCCCCATTTTCTCCAGGAGCATATTGTTCAGTTTGTTTTGCCAAAAGAGGATGCAACTCAGGCATACTGTGAAGGAATTTGATACAGCAAATTTGCTGAAGCTGAAGAGACCTCAGGTTAGTTGGTATATACAGTGGGGCAAAAAAGTATTTAGTCAGCCACCAATTGTGCAAGTTCTCCCA